AAGAGCGAGTGAGAGAGGGGAGAGAGAGAGAGAGAGAATTTTTTAATATTTATTTCTTAGTTCTCGGCGGACACAACATTTTTGTTGGTATGTGGTGCTGAGGATCGAACCCGGGCCGCACGCATGCCAGACGAGCGTGATACCGCCTGAGCCACATTCCCAGCCCTGTTTATAATGTTTTGATGTTTGTTTTTTTTTTTTTTTTCCCTCAGTGATCTTGATTTCTGAGGCTGGTTCTTAACCTTATATTAATTTTGCCAGAAAAGCATTATTTAGCTGGTAGATTTGTTTGTTTTCAGGAAAGATAGTAATGGTAACCATTTACACATACACTATGTTTGTTGTATGTCAGACACATGTAAAAAAACTCAGATGTAGAGAGGTGAAGAATAGTGCTCTAGGTTCTTTAGCTAGTGACATAACTTCCAGGTTTAGGCTCGATAACCTCTGTATAGTTCTGCTTTTTGTGTATTTTTTAAAAGTATTTTCTGCGGTAAGGTAAGATTGATGACTGTAGTGCCAGTCCTTAAAGAGCTTATAGGCATTACACCTGCTGGGAATCTTATGTATTTCAATTGTTTATTCACAAAACCCTCTAGGGTTCCATCGTTTTCTGGAAATTGCAGTGTATTTTTGTTTACTCAAAGGTATGACAAGTCACACAGTGAAGAAACCTTCAACTCTTTTTAACCTATTATTTTCAGTGTGTTTAACTATAGGGCCCCCTTTTTTCTTATATAACAGTTATCAACATCACACAGAATACTAATGCTCTATAGAAAATTTTTTGGAGCAGCTGGTTAAGTCTAGAAAAGGGTGCTGTTATAAGTGATTTTAATGTATCCAGTTACTTTGGTGTCTTAGTTTGTAATACATTTTTCTTCACTTTGGGATAGGCAGTATTGTCCACATTTTAAGAAATAAAATGTTTCTTTTTTATGGGAGAAATTAATACTTGTCAGTAGTAGAGTTGAGATGATTTTCAGAATGGTTTGGGATTAGAAAAGTGCTTTTAGTAAGTAGCATTAAGAAAGTATCTCAAGAAGGAAAATTGATCAATAAATTTATTTATCTTCATTTTTTTTCTCTTTGTTTCCATAGGTCTCATCATGGTTTTGGCTGGAGCTTCTGAATTTGATCCACAGTATAATAAAGATGCTACAAGCAGACCAACAGATAATATTCTAATACCACAGGTTAGGCACCATAGCACAAATTCTTTGATGACTAGTTGAGTACTAAAGTGGATACTTTTTTAAAGTATATATTTTTGAATAATTATTTTATTTACTTTAGCTGATCAGAGAGATTGGCAGCATTAATTTAAAGAAGAATGAGCCTCCACTTACCTGTCCATATAGCCTGAAGGCCAGAGTTCTTTTACTGTCTCATCTTGCTAGAATGAAAATTCCTGAGACCCTTGAAGAAGGTATTTGTGATTCTAATATCTACAGGGTTTTAATAGAATCAAAGCAACAGATTTAATTAGATCTCATGGTGCATTGTTTTTGTCACTATTCTTTTTTGCTCCATCAAATAATTGCTCAAGGACTCCCATATCCCCATTTTTGTTTTTTTAATCTATATGCTACATAATTGCTTCACATAGTTTGAAGGTTGAAGTTGGATGTTTTGGCAAATATTAAAATTTAGTGTTTCAAGGTGAGAGAATATTCTGAAGGAGAAATGTTTAGTTAAATTAAGATCATACAAAAAGTTCCTAATGACTTTTTAACAAGAAATTTGTAAGCTTTCTAGAGGGACAGGAATGAGTTTCACAACAAATACCTCCACTGAACACTAACCCCCACCCACACATCATCCCTCCTACCAGTGTTCTGAGTAGTATCTGTTTGATCTTTATTTAAAGCTACATAATGTGTGTGTCTGTCTCTGTCTCTTCCTATCTCCTTCCCTATTTCTCCATTCCTAATCCTAAATACTGTTTTTTTAATTTGTTTTAATTAGTTACACATGACAGTAAATGACCTTGACATATCATATATTTGAATCACTTTTAAATGAAATCTTACTGTCCCCCATCTCCTTTAATAATGTATTCAAATGCTTCAAACAAGGCTATTTGATACTTAGAAATTGGATGCTTATTCTGTCATAAGAAAGGATGTTTATGATAGAATGAAGGAGTACTGTTGAAGCATTGTCACTGAAGTTGCTTTGAAATTTTAGTAATTATGCTGCTAATTTTCTGTACAGATACATAGTCATCTTCATTTTTACCAATCTGTAACAAACAGGGAAAACATTTTTTTAGGTTGAATGCCAAGCCCAATAGTAGTTAAGACTTTTATATGCAGTATAAATGACTCTGTGTGCCTTGTTGCCCTCTTCCTCCTCTTCCTCATTTCTCTGTATTTAATTGACATTTATTCTCATTCTTAGCTTTTAGAATTAATTAATACTTAAGGAACTTACAAGCACAAAAAGAAAATTCTTGAGGTTCTCAGCAGCAAGATTAAGATTAAATTTATGATTAAGGCTGCTTTAAAACAGGAATTAACTTCTGAAGCTTAACATAATATTAAAATTTTCCTTTGACACATCTGAGTGGGGGTTTTCTGGCCATTAACAGTGATGCAGAGGAGAAACTGTAAAATTCTGAAATCTGGTGAAATGTTTGTGGGACAACTTTTTTAGAATTAGTCTTGGGCTATGATGATAAAGATGCTTTAACTATGAAATTAGAATTGTTTCAGGTTTTTTATTGTTTTGCAGATCAGCAATTTATGCTGAAAAAATGCCCTGCTTTGCTTCAAGAAATGGTTAATGTAATCTGCCAACTAATAATAATGGCCAGGAGCCGTGAAGGTGAGGAGGAAATATAATTAAATTGTTTTATTTATTTATTTATTTATTTATTGCAAGCATGTGCAGATTTTACTTCACAGTTTTTAAGATTTATGAGGAACTAATTGTAATTCTGTCTGCCAGTTCAATCGGCTTTCTCAATTTTGCTCATGATTTTTCTCATTGTTTCATAGTTTTATTGTTTGCTCTGCAGATTTAATATTTCCTTTTCCTTCTGATTATTTTTTGGAGTTAGTTTATTCTGTATTTTAACAGTGAGTTTGATATTTCTTTAACAAACGTAATGATGATTCACCTGACATGTAATATTTTTTGTATGGAAGGAAAAGAATCAGGGAATTGTTGCTCAGTAATGGAATGGGAGAACCTTAACAAATAAGACAGTGCTTATGGGTTGTTGTGGGAGATGTTAGTACTTGCATGGTATCAGTACATTCATGATGCTGATAATAATTGATAATTTAATGTTACTTGAGTTGATGCAGCTTTTTTTTAATGAAATCAATGCTTATTGCTGGATAATATACATTTTGCTGTTTGCATGTTAATATCTTCTCCAGTAATTTTTAAAAGAAAATCAATACCACAATCTTAAAATTTGTGTTAAAGATATTAATGATGTGAAAGATATGAGTATGATTTGGTTTTATGATGAATTGTGTACACCGGAACATGTAAAAGTCCAGCCCTGTTGTTTCTTCTTTTTTTCTGTTCTTTCTAAGAAAGGGAGTTTCGTGCTCCAACTTTGGCATCCTTAGAAAACTGCATGAAGCTTTCCCAGATGGCTGTTCAAGGCCTTCAACAATTTAAATCTCCTCTTCTGCAGCTCCCTCACATTGAAGAGGACAATCTTAGAAGAGTTTCTAATCATAAAAAGGTAATTATCTTCTGTTTTGTACTTCAAAGTTAATATTTTGCAGTTTGTCATGTCACTTAAAGGTAATATGAATGAAAAGTTTTCTAGAAATGGTTCCTATGAATTTTTTAGATTTAGGATATCTTTGTTTTTTTAAAGAGAGAGAGAGAGAATTTTTAATATTTATTTTTTAGTTATCAGCAGATACAACATCTTTGTTTTGTATGTGGTGCTGAGGATCAAACCCGGGCCACACGCATACCAGGCGAGTGCGCTACCGCTTGAGCCACATCCCCAGCCCCGATTTAGGATATCTTAAGTGTTATGAAACTATCTTTCAAGTGGTTCTGTTAACATATTCCTGATTAGGTAGTTTTTAATAATATTTTACTATTGTAAGTAATGTTACTGTGATGGGGGGGGGCTTGTCAATGCATTTTAGCAGTTGTCACTTTGCTTCATATGTTGCCAAAAATAAGTGTATGGTATACATTTTAATAATTTCATTCTTGGCTTAAAGGTTGAATAATGGGTCTGTTGTTTGAGTATGAATAAAAAAATTAAACATTTGAAAAAATACATTAAGTAAAGATAATTCTTATTTAGAAAATATAATCTATGGTAAAGATATAATGAACTATTTAGATACAGCAAAAAATATGTATAAAGGAAAAACTTGAGAAAACAGAAGTAAAATTACAAGTCTAGTGCGAGATTTTAAACATTACTTTGCATATATAGTAGATAAAGGGAGAAAAGGTAGACATTGGATTTGATGATTAAGGTAAAGTTAATAAATGTATATTAGAAATTTGTAATAAAAAGACAGTGCTGTCTTTTAAAGTAATTGTGTTTCCCTTATCAATTTGATCATGTTATCATGATCATAAAAATCTCAAAATTCAGAACCAGAACTTTACCTGTCTTATAATCTAATTTTTGTGAAAGTACAAATTAAATAATTAACACCAAACAACTGAAATTAAAGAACACTCTTATAAGTAACCATTTTGCCATGGTGGATATTATTACAATAACAGTCATATTTAGAAAAGTAACAAAAATTAAGAATATTGCATAGTTAAAACCCCGAGAGTGTATCTGTACTTGTGAGGTATTTATTCTTAAAGTTTATTTTTAATAAGGTTGAAAATAAACAAATTGAAGACAATAGTTCTTACTTGGGGGTAGATTCTATATGAATGTCACTGACATCTTTTAATTTTTTTAAATTAAAAAACAAAGGCTGAACTGATCCTTAATTTAAGTAGCATTGGAGAAAAGGACCACGAAATACTATTAGTTGTATTTTCTGCTTTGAAATGCATACAATATTAACATTTTTCTTAAAGTGCTGGATTTTATTTTAGTTAACATAATTTATTTTTATGAAAAGTTTCATGAATTAGGGATTTATAATTTTTATTTTTCTTATTCAGTATAAAATTAAAACTATACAGGATTTGGTGAGTTTAAAAGAATCAGATCGTCACAGTCTACTACACTTTCTTGAAGATGAAAAATATGAAGAGGTCATGGCTGTCCTTGGGAGTTTTCCCTTTGTGACAATGGATATAAAATCACAGGGTAAGTGATAGGTTTCCTCGTTGAACATTGCTTCCTATTACATTTGTTCTCATTCATTTGATTCAGGACTTAACAACATAACTTGCAGTGAGACTCTGCAGAACTGTAGTTTTTCTGTCAGATTTACCATGTTGGAAATTGATGGAGATTTAAATCTTTTTAAGAAAACTTATATAGCCCTGCTTTATTTTTTTTAATAGTAAGATTAAGTGCAAGGACTGTTTTGTATTTTAGCTTTCAAGAATTTAACTTTTCAGAGATTTCCAAATGTAATGAAAAGAATGAGATGTGAAATACATTAGAAGAAATAGTGTTAAAAGAAATATCACTTAATATTGACATTAATTTCCAAAGCCCCAACTTATTTATATTAATTAATCCTTGAAAATTGCCATGTTTCTGCCAACTTTCTTGATTTTTTTTCACATTTTCTCTAACTTTTCATCTATTTCAAGAAAAAAATGGAATATTTTTCTATTTATATAACTGCCCTGTGACCATTTTAATAGCCAAATAATAGTATCTTAGAACACTGACAGAATTAGAGATCATCTCCTCCATTCCTTCTTTTTTTTAAAAAAAGAGATAGAGAAAATTTTTTAATATTTATTTCTTAGTTTTCGGCAGACACAACATCTTTCTTTGTATGTAGTGCTGAGGATTGAACCCGTGCTGCATGCATGCCAGGCGAGCGTGCTACCACTTGAGCCACATCCCCAGCCCCTCCATTCCTTCTTTTTTTTTTTTTTTATTTTTTTTTTTAAAGAGAGTGAGAGGGGAGAGAGAGAGAGAGAGAGAGAGAGAGAATTTTTAATATTTATTTTTTAGTTCTCGGCGGACACAACATCTTTGTTGGTATGTGGTGCTGAGGATCGAACCCGGGCCGCACGCATGCCAGGCGAGCGCGCTACCGCTTGAGCCATATCCCCAGCCCCCTCCATTCCTTCTTTATGGTGTTGTTCTATGCTGTAACATTGGCTAAGTCACTGTTGTGAGGGTGTTCTTATATGTGCCAAGAATACAGGGACATATTAGGAGAAGTTTCTGCCTTTAAAGGACTTATCATCTGGTTGAAGACATTGGATTAAAAACAAGAGAACATAGGCTAAGTATTAAGTAAATAACAGACATTGTACCCATGTTCATGCAATAAATACTGAGTGCTGGAGAAGGGGAGGTAAGACAGTCTCTGCCTTATTGAATTTATCTTCTGATAGACATTGAGCTTGGTTAAATGGCTTTCCAAGATTATAGTGTTTGGGACAGGAAGGCAAACAGTGCAGTCTGGTATCCATTTGCCTAGAGTTGACTGTGTAACAAGTACAATACAGGTAGTAAAACCTTGGATCACTTTGGCAGGGATTTGGGTCCATGAGTTTTCATCTTTAAAAACACTAATATAAAGGGTACATTTAGGATTACACTGCTTTAACCAGAAATTGTTCAATTAAAGTTTAGTTTAGGACTTAAGAGATAATCTTTGATATAATGAAGGATAGCAAAAAGTAAAGAGATTTTTCTTACAAGATATAAGGTGAGAGTATTCACTCTCACTCATCTGTTCCACTTCAATAGTATCTTGTATAGACAGTTTATTTTGTATTTTTACAGTGCTGTCTAAACATGTAATATGAGTGGTATAATTTGAAGGAAGAATAGAAGAATTATAGAAGCAAGAAAAAGGCATTGATAAATACAGTAGTGGAGATGATGGCTTTCTCCTTCCATTTACACTAGGGGCTGTGTAGACTCTCATGGTAGGCTTTTTCTTCACATTAAAATATCAAGTGGCATTTAGATATTGATACTTCAGTTATTTTACATGTACCACTCACATGTATAAAGCTTTGCAAATGAAAAATGTGGATGGATATGTGATTCAGATTTGAATTTTGATAAGAGAGTCTTCCAGGCTGAAGAAGGGATACATAACCTTTGTTGATGCCCACCTGTAACACCTCATAGCCAGTAGTGGGGTGAGCAGTTAAAGGTTGTTGAAGGTCATTGTTTTCCAGTTGGTGTTACGGTAAAAGCTAGAACAGAGTATATGCGAATCTAAATCTGTGTAACAAGTATAATTTAGAAAAACTGTAGTCAAAAATATATAGAGAAGAAATCTTATAGATAAAAATCAATAATAAAAATGAATTTAAAGGCTGGGTATGTGGTTCAAACATAGAGTGCTTGCTTAGCATGTGTGATGAGGCCCTGGGTTGGTTGGTTGGCGGGTCTGCCTCCTCCCCGCCTGTGTCTGTCCGCGGCCTCTCTCTTTCTCTTAATTTAATTTTTGTTTTATATGTAGACATTTGGGGGATGTATGTGGCAAATGTGATTTTAAAAATACTAAATAGTTGGCAAAATTTTATTGTTTAGGGTACTATTTATTGCAAAAGAAATTTCAAAGTGATTTTTGATATAAAGAGAATATATTGACGTTCTTACCTTTAAAAATTGTTTTTATGGTGATTTAGTATGTTTTCATTATTTTATTCTGATAGGCATTGATCACACGGGCAAAGTCTTGTGAATATAAGCTTTGCACAAGAGTGACAATTCTGTAGTTCTAGTTTCATACTATGTTTTCAGAGTCCGGAGTTTGAAACTTGGCAGTGTCAGGGCAGCGATTGTGTGGTCATTTTACATTATTTCTGAACCTTGGTTTCTTTTTTTGAAGTGGAAGTGATAATAAGTAAAAGCACTCTGTAGAGCTATTTTAAGGATTAAAGTCCTATTTACCATTGGATTTTTACAGTACATATACTAAATTGCTAAAGGCATTTATAAGAATTTTATATAGATGGTCATACTGTTTTTTATTAAGCTTAAAATGTAGTATGCTCAAAATACCAAATTGATTTGGGTAAATTAGATTTTGCTATTTACATTTACCTAGAACTTGATTTTTACTTTTTGCTGTCTTTCTTTCCTTTCATCTTACAGTATTGGATGATGAAGATAGCAACAACATTACAGTAGGATCTCTAGTCACAGTGTTGGTTAAATTGACAAGGCAAACAATGGCAGTAAGTAGTCTGTATTTTTATGCTTTAAGAGTTATGTTTCAAGATTTTTATATTTATTTTTCTTAGTTTAAGTAGAAATTTCTCAAAGTTGAAACTAATGTAGTAATAAGAACTGATTTTGCAAGTTCTGTTTGTTGTTTATTAAAAGAATTAAAAATTACAGTGAAAATAACTTTCTGATAGTGTGAAAAATTTATGCTCTCTGGGAAAAAAATTCAAGCAATGGAGAAAAGTTTAGAAAAAAATTAATTTAGGTACTGGGGATTGAACGCAAAGGCACTTAACTACTGAATCACATCACCAATTTTTTAAATTTTTTAAATGCCCTAACCCATTTTTACCTGTGGAATTAATTATTTTTATCATGGATCCCTTATCTCACTCATCTCCCTGAAGAAAACCTATTGTCAACCTCTTATGACCAGAATTCAGTTTATGTGTATCCTTTCATATTTTTCTCTTGTTCATATTTACAGTTGGACCTTCAGGATGCATATCCTTTTTTTTTTTACTTTTTTTTTTTTGTTTTGTTAAATCTAGACATATTGTGTTTCCTGTATTTTGTTTTTCTCCTTTTCTGTTACATAGTTATGTTACCTTCCAAGTCAACTGGTATATTGTGACTCATTGTTTTTAATGGACCTGTACTATTTCAGGTTATTCAACTAATGGTAGATCTTATTCTGCTCTGGAGTTTCTGACTATCTTCATGAAATATATGTTGCATTAAACCCCATGTTAAATATATCAAATAAAAAATGTTAATTTTATGATAGCAAGTGGTAAGAAAGCATTTTGTGTCATGGACTTGGGGATGGATGGTGCCTCCTGGGAGAAGGGAGTGCCAGGCCAAAATTAAGTTCAGAACCTAAAATTATAATTTTCACATGCTGTGGAATTCCCAGACTGAGAAATGAGCAAAAAAATTGGTCTTGGGCTATTGACATTTCTGGGGTAGATGTATATTTATGTGGGGGGGGCATAGGGGGAAGCCTGCCTGGACTAAGGAAAAGGATTAAAATCTTTTCCCTTCTATTCTAATCAAGTAGTGTTGTAGAATTCAGCTAATAAATGAATAAATGAAGACGTAGGAAGTGCTGATATAATTAGACTGGGGAGTGGCAACCTTTTTCTATAAAGATCCAGATAGTAAATATTTTAGGTTTTATAAGCTATGTAGTCTTTGTAGCAATACCTGAACTCACAAATGGCATGGTTGTGTTTCTATAAAGCGTTGTTTTCAAAATTGGTGGCATGCCATAGTTTGCTACCCCTTAGTTTCTGTTTTAGAGCCTGATCATTGGAATTGTTTTTAATGCTTCCAGAGAGTTTATGAAACACAACCCACATCACTTGTCGTCTTCTAGTATAGTCTTACTAGTATGTAAAACTTTATTTTACAGCTTCTTTATTGATTCTAAAAGGATTTTATGGTTGGTGGATATATCTTTAGCATATGTAGATACTCTTTGTGATCCACAGATACAATAAGCAGTGTCACTGACAATAATGAATAAACTAATAGTAGTGGTTTTTTGAAATTCTTAATGTTAGAAAATAATCTGATGTTCAAATTATCATAACATTAAAATATTCACATTTGGTTGCTGTTAAATAAAGTAATATTTTAAACTGAAATTTTTTGTACTTAATAATGAATTTGCTTATCTTAGAACTTTATTTCATTAAGTAGATGATTCTTTTAAATGTATTTAAGACAGACATTACGACTTTAGAAGGTAGCTTCCTGCGTATCATACATCATAAGTTAATAACTGCTGAGTCTACTACCCCTCCCTCAGTTGTAAACAGCTTAAAAAAAATAACCGATAACACATTTTAAAAACATTTCTTTGTTTATCTGAAGGGTAAATATAGGCTGACAGAGTTTATCTTTTTCTTTTTGCCACCCCTAGGAAGTATTTGAAAAGGAACAGTCCATCTGTGTTGCAGAGGAACAGCCTGCAGAAGAACAGCCTGGGGTAAAAGCTGGAATTTTCTTAACTTATCTTACTTGGAAAGAAATTTTTATTTACTTCCTGATGGGCTTATATTACTTTGGGAGAGTAATTTAGCTTATGAAAACATTTAGTTTAGCCATTTCCATCTAAAAATTACTGACTTTCAAATGAAACTTATTATGATTTACAAAGCATGATGTGTGTTGTGATTTACAGCAGCAGCAAGGTGATGCTAATAAGAACAAGACAAAAGGAGGATGGCAGCAAAAGACAAAAGGACCCAAGAAAATGGCTAAATCAAAAAAAAAGAAGCCTTTGAAAAAAAAGCCTACACCTGTTCCTGTTCCATTATCACAGACAAAGCAACAGAAACAAAAGCAGGCAAATGGAGTCGTTGGGAGTGTGAGTATATTTATTGTCATTGTAACTATTATTATTGAGGTAAAATATACTGAAATGTTTAAATCTTAGGTGTACAGCTCCTGAAGTTTTAGATGTATATGTACCCATTAAACCCAAATCAAAATTTAAAAATCTTACTAGCATCCTAGAAAAGCTCCTTTTTGCTCCTTTTCAGTCAGTGACCCCTTCCTTTATCTCATCTCGTCACCTCTCATTTTTCTGACTATAATCACCAAAAATTGGGGTTTTTTTGTTCTTATATTTCACATAAGTGGAATTAGTTATGTCTGCTTAGTTTCATTTAGCTTAACGTCCATGATGTTCATCTTTTTGCATTGTGTGTAGCAGTAGTCCATTGTGTGTGTATGTGTGTGTACATGGTATTTCATTGTATGAATATGCTATAATTTAATCTCTGTTCTATGCTTGTTGGACATTTAGGTTATTTGCAGTTTTTACTTAATATGAATAAAGGCTCTTTGCTTATTCTTGTGCGTTGCATTTTGTGGATAAATTACTGGATTATAAGATGTATTTTAACTCACCAAAAGAGCCTGTTTTCCAAAGTTTTGCCATTTTATGCACTGTAATCAGAATATGAGCGTGTAGTTGTTCTGCATCCTCACCAGTACTTGGCTTTCTCAGTATTTTAGTCTTTCAGTTGTTCTGTGGTAGTATTATTTAGGATGGTTTTTATTGGTATATACCCGATGACTTAACATTGTTGAACACCTTATCATATACTTGGTCCTTTTTTCCTGCTGGCTTGTTTGTCTTATGGATTTGTTGGTGTCCCTTATATATTCTGGATAAGTGTTCTTACTGTCCGCCCCGAAATATATGTATGTATGTATGTGTATATATATATATAGTTTTTTTAAAGTTGCTGATGGACCTTTGTTTTTATTCATATGCAGTGCTGAGAATTGAACCCAGTGCATTACACGTGCCAAACAAGCACTCTACCACTGAACCACAACCCCAGTGCTGTTTTCCCCTCTTAATGGTAGCTTTTTGATGGTTCTTAATTTTAGTGAAGTCTGTGTCATCAGTCTTTTGCTTTAGGGTTAGTGATTGTGTGTCGTGTTTAAGATATCTCAGTGTAACTCAAGGACATTGACATATTTTTCTGTTTTCTTCTAGAAACATTATTGTGTTACTTGTTACATTTAGCTCTATGATCTGTCTTGAATTAATTTTCATGCATGGTATGGAATACGGGCCACCTATTCCAGAACTGTTTATTGAAAAGATCCTTTCCTCAGTGAATTTCAATGGCGCTTTGTGGTAAATATTGTTGGTTTATGGAATTCCTAGTCCATTTCATTTATTTACTTGTGTGCCAGTTCCATACTGTCTTAATTATAGCTTTATGCTAAGTCTTGAAATAAGACTTTACTCAGTCATCTTAGCTATTTTAGGTCCCTTGCATTTCCAACTAAATATTTAGAATAAGCTTAAACTACCAAAGTTATTAGTATTACATTGAATTTGTGGTTCAGTATGGAAGAATTGACATTAACAATGCTGAGTATTTTTATTCATGATCATAGTTTATCTTCATTAATTTGGAACTTCCTTAATTTTTCTCAGCAGTGCTTTATAATTTCTAGTGGCAAAGGTATGACAAATTTTACATTTGATTTACCTCTCTTTGATGCATTTTCTTGGTGTTAATGTGACATTTAAAAAAATTGTTCTTCAGTGTTTGTGGCTGGCATATAGAAATCTGGTTGCTATCTAAATATTGCTCTTGTATCAAAGAGTCTTAGCCATTTGTAAAAATATTTTAATGAAGATTTTCTACATATGCAGTCATGCTCTGTGTGACTGGATATAGTTTACCTTTTTCTTTTTAAGCCTAATGCCCTTCTTTTCTGCCTTGCCTTTCTCTGTTGGTTGGAATTTTCAGAGTAATATTGAGTAGCAGTGATAATTGTACACACCCTTTACTTTATTTTTTATCTTAGGAAGAAAGCAAAACAGTTGTTTTACTACCAAGTATGTTGTTAGCTGCAGGGTTTTGTATCCTTCATCAGGTTAAGGAAGTATTTCCTTCCATTTCTTATTTGCTGATAATTGTTTATCATGAGCAGATAGTGGATCTTATTAAATGCTTTTTCTGCATGTATTTAGTGATCATTTTATTTGTTTTTTTCTTTTATTAATGTGGTGAATTGTATTGGAGGATTTAAAATTTTTAAATCATACTTGCATTCCTGGGTCGGACTCTTACAACTGTTTTTATGAGAGGATATTGATATGTTTCTTTTTTTCTCTTTTTAGAAGAAAATATTGGTGTCTTTTTTTCTCTTGTAATATCCTTGTCTGCTATGATATCTGACCTCATTAAACAAGCTAGGAAGTATTTTCTTTTTTTCCTGGAAGAACTTTTTTCCTTCTTATTTGGAAGAATTCTTTAGGGAAACTATGGAAAAGTTTTAAACATAAGCTATTTCTTCACCTTGTTTCATGGGGTATATATTTTTATCCTTTTCTTACCAGTTTATGTTAATTATTTTCCAGGGAATTTGTCTGTTTCCTCTAAATTAGAAGTTTTTTGGTATAAATCTATTTATAATATTCTTTTATTTTAATGTCTGTTGGATCTGATTAATCTTATTTATTTTCAATATTTTGTATCCTCTTAAATATTCTTGCTTAGAGACTTTCAATTTTACTAATCTTTTCAAAGAACTGTCTTGATTCTTTTGTTTTCTTGTTTTCTAGTCAATTATTTACTTCAACTTTCTTTGCATTTAATTTGATACTCTTTTTTTTTGCTTCTTGAATCGAACACTATTATTTTTGCCTTGGATATTGACTTTCCTTAATATGTTATAACCTGTTACAGAAGATGACCCTACACTCCAAAGACAGTATTTTTCAGTAAACTGCCCATTTCCTCTCCTAAATAAAATGTATTGTATAATTGATACTTTTGAAAGCTGAATCATCTTATCTATTGTGGTACTGTACTTTGAAAATAGAAATATTTTTATCTTACAAACTGTGAAGAAGGGATACAATTACTAATCTTAGACTAATAAACCAGGTGAGCCAGATGTTAAAGTCTTCAGTCTTACTCCTTCATCTTTATAAATAAAAATGTTCATAATTTTCTAAAATTCTGCTTGGATAGTGAAAATTTAATTTTCAACCAGCTTAGTTATGTTGACAATAAGTTAGCTTCAGAGATGCAAAATGATCAATATTACTAGAAATATTCAAAACTTTGTGCTTGCTTTTTTCCCTTTAGGAATGTGGAGTGAAGGAGGATGAAGAAGAAGTTTCTGACAAAGGCAGTGATTCTGAAGAAGAAGAAACCAATAGAGATTCCCAGAGTGAGAAAGATGATGGTAGTGACAGAGAATCTGATAGAGAGCAGGATGAAAAACAAAACAAAGACGATGAAGCAGTAAGATGAATAGATTTAAATAACTAGATTATTCCCCTGATGATTGTTTTGGGTTTTGTTAGTGTTCATTTGTTTGCTTGCTTGCTTGCTGTTTATCTGTCTTAGAACCTGTGCATTTTTTCATTTAATTACTTTGCAATTTTTTTTTAAAGGAATGCCAGTCAGAGTTTATAAAGAAAAATTGTTTCAAACTAGGATTGGAAATCTAATTTTCTTAGATCTTAAATTGCTAGGTAGAGTAGAACCAAGGTCTGAGGTGAAGTCAGTTTTCCTTCTTTAAGAAATTTTCAGTATTAGGGTATCTCTGGAAATATGAGTAAGGGAAGGTGGACTGCAAAATGGGAAGCAGTTACTTTGAAGGCCCTGTCACAGGTTCCAGGTAGTGTTTAGAAGAAACATTACTGTGGACTTTGTGTCAAGAGGTGTTAAGGGAGAGCTAACATTATGGAATGTCACCTTGTTTCATGAGTATATAAGACATTTAAGGAAGTTATTAAGATGGTTAAGTATGAAGCATGGGGCAAAAATCTCATAGTGTGAAATTGCGCATCATTTATAGAAAAACTATAAAGAAAGAATTTTTAAATGAAAATGTTAACTGCCTTTATTTGATCAGTACACATGGTATATGCATGCATTGAAATATCATGTTGTACACCAAAATATGTATAATTATTGACTGGGCCTTTAATCTAAAAGTAACCCTTCTGGTTTGGACGAGAATCCCTGAATAGCTTCTGAGGCAACAGGAGAGACCAGGGAGAGGCAGAGGGCAAAAGAATAAAAGGAGTTAGTGCACAACGTGGATAACTACTTTTACTTTTTGCTAGGTCTTGACGGTTTTGTATTTTGAGAATTAAAATGATGGCCAAGAAATAAAATTTGTCCAAGAGATTATTTCCCTAGCTTCACTTTTGGAAAGTTGACATAGTCTTTCTTGAATGTCTTAGTGTTAATAGAGGTGATCTTAAGATTTTGACAGACTTATTTTTTTCAGATGACCAAAAATACATTCATGCAGCCAACAAATAATTACTCATGACCTGTCCCATCCCAAGCATTGTCTTAGATGACAAGGAACGCAAGCCAAATAGGAAACAGTTTCTGCCCTTGAATGATAACACAGGCTAGTGGTATAGGCAGACTTGTAAATATATGAGATTAATGTATATCATATGCAAGGTATAGTGATGGCACAAAGGAAGCAGTGATCAACTCAGTTCTCAGACAGAAGGAAATTTGTAGTAGGCCTTATTCAGGAGTTTGTACTAAATTGGCCCTAAAAGAAGAACAAATAGGAATTTGCCAGACAAAGAAAGGGAAGAACAAAAATCCATACAGGGTTTGAGAAGAGTGAAATAGTTTGCTAACTTCAGCGAAGTATAGTCAGTTTGAAATAATGAGAATAAAAAGCATCAGGAGGAAAGCAATGACAGGAGATTAGCTGTAGGCCATGGTCAGATTATTAGCCAGGCACCGTGGCACACATCTATAATCTCAGGGAATCGGGAGGCTGAGGCAAGAGCATCACAAGTTTCAACCCAGCTTCAGCAACTTAGCAAGGCACTAAGCAACTCAGCAAGACCCTGTCTCTAATAAAATATAAAAAAGGGCTGGAGATGTGGCTTGGTGGTTAAGTGTCCCCTGGTACTAAAAAAAAAAAAAAAAAAAAAAAAAAAAAACGGAGGTTATGGAGATTATTAATGGCCCTGTAGTGCTATGGGGGTTAGAGGGATTGCAGGTTTGAGCTAGGAGATGATTTATGGGACTGAACTTGTTCTAACCTAATTAGTTAATTAGCATTTTTAGGAATCATAGAAACTCCTCAAAATGGGCAAACCCTACCAGGTTTCAGATCTTTTTATTCTTTACCAGGAGTGGCAAGAATTACAACAGAGTATACAGCGAAAGGAAAGAGCCCTACTGGAAACCAAATCAAAAATAACACATCCTGTGTATAGTCTTTACTTTCCTGAGGTGAGTTACACATAGGCTATTCACTTTCTCTTCTCCTCAGATATTTCTTATTTGGATTTTATTGCTCTTTGGAGTGTACCTGCTCAAATACACTAACTGTGATATATTCCTGATTATGTTTTTAAAGGATACATTGCAATATGAATTGTTTTTAGTGAATATGTTGTTTGAAAGGAGGATTGTTAACTTTTAAAATACTTCTGTGATTTCCTGTGCTTCTTTCTTTTCTGAGCTCATATTACTTTTGTGCTTAATGATTATTTCTCATTAGCAGTCATCAGTATTTAATAGACAAATGTATATTTTGCCTTTGATTGCTTGACAGTCACAAACCTCACCCCTGTCAAGTTCTAATAGGATGAAAAAAATTCTTAAACTTTCTTTCTGAGGATTCTGTAGTTGCCACCTGGAACCATTAGACTTGCTTTGATCCCAGTTATTGCCCTAGTCTGTGGAAATGAGTGAGCCTGTGGCTGTGGGACCAGCTGTGTTCTGAGCCCTGAGCAAAGTTCAGTAAGAGCTAGGCATGACTGAGTCTCAAGCTCAGGACAGAGCATCATTATAATGCTATTTGTTCTCTTGTTTACTTTGTTATTATGCCTGTTCAACTTTTGATCTATTTGCTAGCCTATGTTATTTGTCTTTCAGATTACTTTGGGATTCTCTTAACACTTTGCTTTTGAGGATGATTCTGTCTGTGGAGCAGAGGTCAAGAACTGGGACACTGTTCCACAGACTGCCACACAGCTTTGTTCTTTATTCACATTTGATTGTGCTCTCATATAATAAGTCTGCTTTCTGCTTGAGAATGTCAATCCAGAGATGCTGGGGCTGCTTAAGGCAAATTCCTAAATAATTTGGCTCTCTTAGTAATAAGTGATTGGCTCTGCACAGACTGTTGTTTTGACTTGGATAGAAGTCTTCCCAGGATTCCATCTTAATGCACACACTGATCTTCTGGCGTGTCTTGAGCTTTTAACCCATCTGTTGAGGGCATTTTGCCCACTGCAGAGGTAGTCTGCCAACACCAAGCATCCCAAAAATCAAGTGAATAAATTCCACTCATTTGATTGGTTTAAAAAGTGCTATGGGATATGTATACTGCATAATTTGTACCCAGTTTCATTTTAGACCACGTTTAATTGGTAAATTAAACATCCATTCATTCCTTTAGAACATTTTATCAGTGGAAATGCCTTTTTCTAGTATAATCTGTTTATACATGATAAATATCTCAAACTGTCATTTATCACATGCAATTTTTTTAGGATCTTCCTGACATTTCCTTGTCTATTTTCCGATGTACCTAATTACCCTCTTCGTAATAATTGACTTACATTTTATTGAAACTCATTTATTAGTATGTTAGGAATGGTTGAGAATTACACACAACTGAAGGATAATTTTAAAAAAAATGCAAATAACTCAATAGAATGTCAGTTTCACTTTTTAAACAAGTAAATCATGTACAGTGTCATTGATTGACATTCATCAGCTTCTTGTAAATATCCTGGAGTGAATTTCATTGTAATTAAACAACTTGAGAGAGTGAAGGGAAAGGCAGTTTCTAAATAGTGAGGTAAATAAGAAATGCACACTCTTGAACATATCCCTATGCTGCTTATAGTACATACATGATATGGTAATGATGTTTCTGACACATCAGAACCACTTAAATGAGAGATTGAGGTTGTAACTCATTCTAATAATCATAACTGTCATTTATTATACCCTATATGCTAACAGAAATCTAACATGTATTTTCCTTGTATTATCTCATTTCATCTTCACAACATTCCAGGCACTCATCATTTAACAAAGAAGGAAAACTAGATTTAGAGAGGTGAACTAATTCAGGTATAGATAGCTTTAAAGCAAGTATTGGCAAAATACAGGCTGCAGGCCAAATCTAGCTCCCTGTTTTTGTAAAAAATCTTTATTTACAATAAAGTCTTAATTAAAATACAGTCCCACTCCCCTTTTTCAAGGCAGATCTGAGTAGCTACAACAGAGACCCTGTGACCCACAAAGTGTCTAGGTTCTAATATTCCATTTTGAGACTATCACACTATTTTGTATACAAAAACAGATAGGCAAATATTATATATACAGCTATCCCTATTATGATTGTCCTAACCCTATGGCTGGACAGTTGACTAAACAGTTATTGACAAGAGCTGTAATACAGCAATGGTTACTGAGCACATTGAGGTTTGGTGCTTCCTTGTCTTTCTAAATTTTTTAAAGAAAATAGTTTTCTGTTTCTTCCTGCTGCCGTTGTGCATTCTGATGGCAGTTTCTTTACCCAACTTTTTTAGTGTTCCTGATTTTTTTTTTTTTAAGTTGAACTAGAAATGCTTTTAATATATTGATTTTCTATTTGGCTGCCTGAGTTCTTTCCACTCCTACTTTGTAGCTTTTGCTTATTACGTGTTAAAAGATTATTTGTTACATGATATTGTAAAAGTCAATATATTTTTTAAGAATATCTTTTGTCATTTAAGGTAAATCAGAGTTTTTTAATATGGAATCCATCAGTAGACTTAAAATAAACCCCCAAAATTGCATATAAAATTATTTTTGAAGAGTAAGGAATGGATCTATAAATAGTTAAGAACAGTTTATTAATCTGGTAAATTATTGAACCAGGCACTGTGTCAGTGCTGAGGATATAGCAGTGACCAAAACAAGGACAGTATTCTGAAATAAGACAAGCCAAAAGTGCTTCTCTAATTCTTTCTGATTTTCGTACTGTTCGTTGTTCTTATTGTTTTTTTTCCTCCTCTTTCCAGGAAAAACAAGAATGGTGGTGGCTTTATATTGCAGATAGGAAGGAACAGACGTTAATTTCTATGCCATATCATGTTTGTACACTAAAAGATACAGAAGAGGTAATTACTCAATAATATTTCCATTTTTAACAATGTACAGCATCTCATCGTCATGCTGCTTGATAAAATCTGCTTAAAATATCAGTTTATCAGAGCTTACTGCATGTCGCCAGCTGGCTGGGCTGGCGAGATGAGCTGGGTTCAAAGGAGCCGGCTCATTCAATAAACTGAGAAAATGGCGAAGAACCCACACAAAACAGGAACATGAGTTTTGAGGGGAGAAATTCTCAGTGACCCCAAGGGTCTGCTCCACGCTGGATAGCGCTGGAAGGAGCAAGATAGAGAGCACACCTGGAACCCGCCCCCCCCCCCAATTATTGGGGAAAAGACATTCGATAAAATGTTCCACCAGAATAAGACAAGGGTGGGGTTTCGAAGGGTGGAGTCTTGCTTGGTGATGTTTTGTGGTCAGCAGATTGCTTGACGTCTTGGCAAGTCACACCCATCTGAAGTGCTATGTGGGATCACAGGCAGAGCCAAAGGAAAAGCACACTTAAATTGCACAGCCCAATCAGAGCCAAAGGAAAAGCACACTTAAATTGCACAGCCCAATCAGCGCGCAGTGCCAGGCCAGTCCCCTCATATGCTCAAATGTGCATAGCTCACACACATAGCCCATGGATGGCTTGCAACAATTGAATTCTGTTGTGTCTGTTGTCTTACTATTCCCTGATGTTTTGAGAGTGAGCTCATTGGACATTTGTAAAGAAATATTAGAGGTAGGTAACTTTTAAAAACTCATCAATATAGTTTTGGCAGTTTTTACTGTTAGTGTTCAAGAGCATTTTTCTTTGCTCCTCCTCTCCAGAATTTAATATTTTATAAACATTTATGATGTAAGAATTGGTGGATTTAAATTTTTAGAATAGAATTTTTGACTGAATGGCATTGCTTGCTTTTATAACATCATAAAAGTAGCTTCGTGATAAACATTATTTACCCTTGGGAACTGCATTCTGGGTTTTTTTTTTCCTTGATGTTTTTGGCTGTTACCTTTTCTAGGAAGAAGGTTCTGTTTGTTTGGACCAGGCAGATAAGGGCAAGGGTTTTGAATTTCAAGATATTTCTAGATGTTGATTTTTAGTACAAAAAATCTTTAAAATAATTTTTATAACCATGCAGTAAATGTGTGGAATAGTTAATACTTATTTGATGCTTAAAGATAAAGCCAACTCTTAAGTTGTATTTGTTTTGACCTTTTTTTTAAAAATTTTACCTGTTTTTTAATAGGTAATGCATTCACCTAAAATTTCAGAAAATATAAAAGTGCAGAAAGTGAAACATCTTGCATGTTTTCCATCACCTTTTCCTTTTCCTGGAGACCATCAGTATTATCAAATTTTTATGTATTCTTCATGTAATATTATATGTAAATTGTAAACGAATACATACATTATTATTTTCCCCTCAGATTTTACACAGAAGATGGCATATCTGTTTTACACCTTCCTTTTTTATCCAGTAATATAACTTGGACATGTATCTATCTTCCAAGATCGGGGGAGCCTTTTGTTTCACAATCGCAACACAATTATTATACTCAAGGAGTTTAAAATTGGTGTGATATTATCTAATACACAGTCCATATTCAAATTTCCTCAAAGTTTTCACTGATGTCTTTTTGTTTTGATTTGTTTCTGAGTTCAGGATCCAATCAGGGATTACACTTTGCATTTGGTTGTTGTGCCTCTTTAGAACACTTTCTTGTCCTTTTTCATTTTGGATTTTTCTTGACATTTTTCAGGAATCCAGGCAAGGTATTTTATGGAATATCAGTTAATATGAGTTTGTTTCATTGGTTACTCCTTATATTTATCTTAAATATATCTGGCAAGCATACAACACTAATGATGACATACTTAGTGCATCACATTAGGGCGTATTATACCAGTTTGCTCCACATTGATGATATTAAGATTGATCCGTTGTAAAGATACTCTCCCCCCTCATCTGTATGGCAGTATCTGGGCTCTGTGTGAATATCCTGTTCTCCTAGTCTTTTGCCCAGTCATTTTAGCATACATTGATGAATCTTTAATCTAAATCAATTTTTATCCTGCTCAGTGTAGTTTAAATTTTCTGTTTCTTTTTTAGAGTGGAACTGAACACTTTCAGTGGGTTCAAGACATATTTCTTTTTGTGTCTGTTTGTGACCATTCCTCATTTTTGTTGGGTCTTTTAAATGGGTTTGAGTTGTTCTTTTTTTTTTTTTTTTCCCAGTGATGTTAAGAAATCAGCCTGCTGTGACTGTGTGGCAAATATTTCTCTCTAGTACTAAGATGGTTTTTAATAAGCAGAAAACAATTTGTTTATCCATTTTCCTTTATTCTTTGTTTTTGAAGTATGGCTTATAAATTTTTTTGTAGCTTCTAGATGATGTTATAGTTAGAAAGGCCAAACTGAAGATGAGAGAGAAAGAGAGTAGGTGTGTGTATGTATGTATGCACGAGTGTGCATGTGTTTCTGTACTGGGGTTCCATCCCAGGGCCTGTGCATGCTAGGTTAGTGCTCTGCCACTGAGTTACACACCAACCCTGAGGGTTTTTTTGTTTGTTTTTTTTTTTTAAGATTCTCCCATGATTTTGTTTTTCTAGTTTTATTAATTTTTTATGATAGCCAAGATTATCTCAATATATAATCTTGGCTACAAAATATGAATTCTGGAGGTTTAGATCACCAAAGCATCCAAATGTCATTTAAAAAAAAATGTATTCTTCCTTCACCGAAGTGGAATTGAGATACCTGAGGGTGTTACTGTTTGTCTTTGTAGTCTGTGATTTTTAAAAAATATTTTTAAGTTGTAAATGGACACAGTATCTTTATTTATTTTTATGTGGTGCTGAGGATGGAACCCAGTGCCTCACATATGTGAGGCAAGCAAGCACTCTACCACTGAGATATAGCCCCAGCCCAAAGTCTATGATTTGATGGGAATTCAAATACCTATTTGACCTTTTAAAGGGATTGGTCATTTATCCTAGTAATAAGAAACTTCGACCAATATTATCTCCTGTCTATATTTTTATTAACTCAAGCATTTTATTTTACTTTTATACTCCACTTAATTTCTTCAGTTTACCCAAGATAATAGTCAACAAAGAACATGGTTGTTTACTTTAAATATGCTTTCTTGAATTGTGAAGATACAGATTAAAGATTAACCCCATCGGTTCTGCCTAATAGATTTCCTTTCTGTGTAAAGTATGTAATAGATAAACATATAGTTCACGATGTGTATTTGTTATTGTTGTTGGGCCTTTTGTAACAAGTCATGATTTATAACTTCCTGTATCACATGAATGAATAAAACATGACTGTTAAGTACTCTGGTCTAGTAATTTTAAGGGTATGCTGTTGTTTCCTCCTCAAAAATGGAGATTTTTAAGTGTTAATTTTATCTTCTAGGTAGAATTGAAGTTTCCTGCACCAGGAAAGCCTGGGAATTATCAGTACACAGTGTTTCTGAGGTCAGACTCCTATATGGGTTTGGATCAAATTAAACCATTGAAGGTAAGAATAGTGTCTCTTCAACAAGTACAGTAGCCTGTTGGAGTAAATACTTGAGTGTGAGGGAAGCATTTCTAGTTTTGCAATGCAAAGTAATAACAAAAAAGAGATCTTTTCTTACTTTTTCAATAATAAACTTACATTGTTGAGTAGGATTTTTAAGAGGTATGATTTAGAACCTTGACCATAAATTATATTAATGATGTATTTTAATATGCCCTAATATGCTGTAACTTACAGGGCCTCATCAACATGTTAATTTCTTTTAAAAGCATATAGATTTTACTGCATATTCTGTTGGAGTGTTTTTTAATTATAAAATCATTTTTAAGTTCATCTTAGAGCATATGTTTTCTTTTATCACTTGAAGCACATTTCTATTGGTGTTTACCAGTTCACTTGAGTATTTTATAGAAATCATTCTGTTAGGAAAAATGGTGCTGATATATTCTTGCATGGAAAAGAGTAAAATGAGCCTCTCTTTTCCCATGAGAGGCTCATTCTACTAGAGCTTACAGAATATCTTTTAGAAGGTCATATTTTAGTTTTTCTTTTTTGGGGGGTAGGGGGGAAGGTAAGCACCAGAGATTGAACACAGGAGCACTAAAATACTGAGCCACAATTCCAGTCTTTTTAAAATATTTTACTTAGAGACAGGTCTTGCTGAGTCTGGCAAGGGTGTTGCTTAGGGCCTCCCTCAGTTACTGAGGCTGGCTTTCATCTTGAGATCCTCCTTCCTCAGCCTTCTGAGCCTCTGGGATTATAGGTGTGTGCCATCATGCCTGGCTCCCTAGCTTTTCTTCTTTCAGCCGAACTTTAAGCTGTCACTCAGCACTTCTGCTCAAGAATTACGATCATTAGTTTTTTGTTCTACAGAAATACATCCATAAGTAGTTTTAACTTCTATAAGAGCAGAATATTAAACTATTAGAAATTTAATTATATGTTAAAGTAGATTGACATTTCTAGGATGAAGTGCCAGTGTGTTGAATTTATAGTTATATCTGTAAAATCTATATTTTGCTGTGGTAAAAGAAAAGCTATTCTTTATCAGATATTTCTTCCATTATTCCTCCTTAATTTTCTAACATCTACATTCCTTCTTCATAGTTGGAAGTTCATGAGGCTAAGCCTGTGCCAGAAAATCACCCGCAGTGGGACACAGCAATAGAGGGGGATGAAGACCAGGAGGACAGCGAGGGCTTTGAAGATAGCTTTGAGGAAGAAGAAGAGGAAGAGGAAGATGATGACTAATCAGTACTATGAGTGGACCACAGTGTTTGCACATATTTGCAAACTTTTGCTGTTTGGAAGTGTATAATAAACCAGAAACAGTGCAGAACCAATATCGAAGGAAGTGTTAGTTTCTTTACTAGAAATGGTTGCATAAAATAACTAGGCAATTGGCGGTGTCTTGGTATGATCTGGGGAAAAAAAAAGTTTAGGACGTTTAGGGCTTATTAAAGTCTTTCAAGTATGGGATGGTGCATTTATTTCATCTGCAAATTATAATAAATCCTTTGTTATTATAACTGTCCAAAGTGTGGGCTATGTATTATCTGATCAATTTATGGTCCCAGTAAAAGTCAAGGTACATGAAAATTTATAAATGAGCAACTTTTCTTTGTTCAGCTTTAGTTTTAGTATGATAAACATCATATATGTTCTAAGTAACATCTCAAATTTTGCCTTGATAAGCTCTATTACTCATTTATTGATATTTTGCAGGTGATGAGACTATAATAGCTCCTTACGTGGATTTAAGCCTTTTATTTTCACCTTTCTTGGTCATAGTTGGTATTTTCTCACATTCCACATAATATAGAGGGCTACATTTTGGGATTTTGCTTTCTTAATTGCCCAGCGTTATTCGAGAGATTATAAAGATGGCTTTTAATGGCTTAAAGCATTTTTAAGCCTCTATCTTAGTAGATCAGGGCAGGATCTAATTCTTTTGATAAGCTAGCTATAGGTCTAAAAGTAATTGTGGGACCATATGTTCTCTGATGTTGGTGGTTTATGTTATCAAACCTTTTTTAAAAGGTTCACTATAAAAGCTGAACTACATTCTTAGCTTTTAATCTACCTGACTCTATCAGAAGCCTTTTAAGGAAAATAGTATAACATGCAAAGGAGGGATCTTTTTGTATTCATTTTGGACTCCTGTTAATAAAATAGAAGTTTGACTCATTTTATGTTTGCTATTGTCTTTGTCTTTTTATTTTTAGAGAAAGGACATAAATAGGGTAATCCATTCTTTTTTTTTCAACTAAAAATTTAATATGACTAAGTGACTGCTATCTTTGTATACCATAGGAAAACCCCTGAGTGAGAGGAATTTCCACTCACATAGTACAACCAAAAGGGTTGTTCTTAATATAAAATAGGTATGTATATGTGATGAATCATTGGGGTGAGAGGAGAATTTTTATTATACTAGACAGGGAGGAAACAAGACTATAATATTATAAGATCGATTATAATAATCCTCTCATCAAAATTTCCCCAGGCCAAAGTACTGTTGGAGTACTGTGACCTTGTTTATTTAAAAGGTTGCTACTCTCCATACAGAATTACCATTGTTATTTTGTTACTATAGTAGTTTGAAATAAAATTTGGAAATTAGCAAAAGCACGAATGGCTTTTGGTTCTAAATTTAGAATGCAATACTTGCTGTCAAATGGTCAGAGAAGTTTTTTCATTAGAACTTTATTAACCAGTCTAGGGAGCCCTCCTCTTGGCAGGCAGGAAGCTGTGCCACTGAAGATTTGTTTCACATTACAATTAAGGGTGGGTTTACTTTTAAAATCAGGTTTTGTGGTGAAGCTGCAGTGTGGGTTGAGGCAGCTGCTAGTAATGCAAATGATGCAGGGAGTGCTTACTCGAGTAAAAGGAGAGAGAGAGGTCAGAGAAAGCAAAGTGGCATAAGGTCAAGGACATTGAGCAAATAAGATAATGTTAGGGTTCACGTTTCCTATACTTCTTGAAACATACTTTTAAGAAAAGAATTTATTTTTTAGTGGTGATTTTGCCTTAAGGAAGTTTTGCAGAAGTTCATTGAAACAACTGACTGTTTGAAGAGGTGGATTTCCCACCCTAATAAGTCACCATAATGCAAATAAAGCCTCACCTCCATACTAAGAGAGGCTCACCAATCAGTTTTCCTTTGCCCTTTCTTTGTGTGATGTGTATAAATATCCCAATCAAATAAAACCAATTAATGCATACCTTAGGTACCTCTTTCCATACTGCAGTAATGGAAGAACGTTTGTAATCTCCAGTAAGTCACTGAACTCCACATCCCTTCTTTCTATGGAATGGGATTATAATTTACCCCTAGATTGTATTTAATCTCATGGAAATTTATTAAATGACGGTTCATTTTCCTATCAAAAAACAGTGACTTTATCAACAAAATAAATGAGCATCTAGATGAAAACAATGTGAACAGAATGAAATTGGTTATTTTTGAAATTATTTAAATCATGAATATTTTAATCTCTTTAAATTGGTAAAGTAGCTATTAAAACCAAATACAGCCTTCCAGGAGACTTTATTGCCACTATTGAAAGCGTAATCAGTGGTAAATGTTTAGCATTATAAAATTTGATGTAGGCCCCCATGTGTTTTCCAATTAGAGATCTCAATCTCAAAGTTACTCAGATTGCTGGGCATGGTGGTGCACCCTGTAATCCCAGTGGCTCCGGAGGCTGAGACCCGAGAATCTCAAATTCAAAGCCAGTCTTAGCAAAAGCGAGGTACTAAGCAACTCAGTGTCTCTAAATAAAACAAAATAGGGCTGGGGATGTGACTTCGTGGTCAAGTGCCCCTGTATTGCCCCTTCCCAAAATTAGATATTCATGCCCTCTAAATTTTTAAATTTAATTGAGCACATTGAACTAGTTTCTCCATGTAGAGTAATTCTTTGTGCTCTGCTATACTTCTGCGCTGGGGGGTTGGAGCCAGGACAGGCTGCCAGCTGTACTAGCCACTTTGTGTTGGGAAGCAAGGGAGCAGAGACACCAACATCTGATATGGAAACAGGTAGCAAGGCATTATTCTTGCCATGATGTTTTTCAGTCATCCAAACTATATCCTGTAATGTTCTTTAGTAGGAATTGATATTTCAAATGTAATCCAACATCTTACACATTTTTAAGGGATTGTTCATTGGTCATCAGGTGTTGACTGAGTTTCTATGTACCTGTCTCTGTGTCTGGATTCTGGGACTATAAAAATAAAGTCTGTGTTAAGAACTCACTGGTGTTCAGTCAGGCAGATGGGTGGTATGCCATCTCAACCCATTACCTTGGCTGGTAGCTGTTTGGAATGCCTTTTTTGTTTTGTTTTTGTTTTTCCATTACAGACAGAAGAAGTTATTTGTTTTAGAGATTTATTGTTTATTACTTTTTTTTTTTCAGGTAGGCAAACATCACCCTTTGTTTTTAAATGCTTCTTTAAAGAACTTTTCCTCTCACATTCTGATTCAGCTCCATGAATCCCCTATTTAGTCTGCCTTAAAGTGAAACAAAGATCAGTGAACCATAACATTACATTTACTGTGTAATGATTATTTCAGATATGTCTCAAGAAGTTAGCGCCAAGCAGCTTCACACATTTAAACTTGAAGCTAGGGCTATTTTGCAAAACTCTAGAGAAAAAAAAAAAAAGATGTGATCTTGTACATTTTCCTGTAACAGAGCTAAAAACCCAAATAACAGCAATTATTGACATGCTTTAGGGCTGTGATTTCAGGTGGGGTGGTGTACATCCCAGGGGTATGCAGATGATCAATCCATTGAGAAAATGTTAAAATGATTATTTGTATTTAATCTCATCCTTTAAAATTTCTATTTTTGTGTGTTTTATAATGTACATAATATATTGTACAATTGTACACTTATATAATTTATAAATAAATACATTTATTGGTGCATTATTTTCTGATTCCGTTGCATGACCTAAACAACTGGACACCAATACTTGGTGATACTGATAGGGTGACATTAAACTCTGGGCCTTTGGCATTCAACCATTTGAGATCACAAAGTGATGTACTCTGCTGGTGGCCAAGTTGGCCTTCACTGTGTCCAGCTCTACTGTTCTTCCCAAGAAGAACAGTAGATGGAGTTGAATAGATCTGGTGTGGGGGTTAATTAAGAAGGCTTGGTGCGGTGGCGCCACGACTGTAATCCCAGTGGCTCAGGAGGCTTAGGCAGAAGGATTGTGAGTTCAAAGCCAGCTTCAGCAACTTGGTGAGGCCCTAAACAATTCAGTGAGACACCGTTTCCAAATAAAATACAGAAAAGTTTGGGGGATATAGCTCAGTGAGTAAGTGTCCGAGTTCAATCCCCGATGCCAAAAAAAAAAAAAAGGCAATGGGAGGGTTCTAATCAGCCATTGTCTGTGGAAAGGAAGTGGGGTAGGTGAGGTGCTGTGAATGTGCTAGTGGCTGCTAGCCAGGACTCTGAGAAAAATCTACACTCAGTGGGCTGGATAATCAGTAGCTGCTGCAAAGGCCATCCACTCTTTTCAGCACTGGGTTGTTCAGTATTAATTTATCAGCCTGTGTGCACAAAGGGAGCTGTGTTTCTCTTACCTTGTTGAACACGTCAGAGTTACACCTTAAAACCTGGATAAGGGCAGCAGAGAGCACTGCTTACGGACCCAGTGGCTTGTATGAAGAGTTGACTTTTACTATTTCCCTGTATTTTCCAGCTGGTTCCAGTAGAGGGCGGTAGGGCTATAATTTTCTTTAACAATGGTTTGGTTTGTGGGACTAGGAACCAAAATTGAACAAATGGTTTCTAACTTAGTTTTTTAACTGCACCTTCTAGAATTATCTACTCCTAATGTTTATATTCCCTCCCCTAACCTTCATGTTTCTTACATATGTCCTTTAATACATTAAACTTGCATTTAGGTTTTCTGTGTGGAAATGTTAAACTCCTTTGCAGTGAACTCCAGAAGACAATATGTATTCCTGTGCTATGACTGTATTAGACTGAGAGAGATGGGCAGTCAGATAGGACACAGAAGTTCCTTTAACTTTATAATTTTTTTTAATGGTTGGTGTAAACTATTTTTATTTAACTCTATGTGCAAGCTAAAAAGTTAATCTTCCAGTGTCATGAGGGCTGGCAGAAGGCAGGGGACTCCTAGCTCAGGAGCATAGCAGGTCTCATGAACTCCATGTCCCCCCCAGCATCTCCCAAGTTTCATGCAGGTGCTGTGGGGTGGCCCACGTGGACGCTGCACATGCAGCAGGTTCACATCATAGCTGAGACACTGAACTTGGGAAACCTGACCCTTTTAAGGGTTAGCAAAGCCTGTTCAATCTTTATCATCCTGACAGCAATCTCGCTCTCTTTCTGGAAGAGAACACTACCTTCCAAGGTTGTTTGCTATACAAACATCCTTGAGAAGATAGTCTAGAAAAAAGCTTCTGTGTCTCTGCTCACAGGTGTACAGAAAGGTGGGAAACCCATGGGAAATGGCCTCCCGGCAGCTGGAATTCAATATGTAGAGAGTCACCTCTATTCACAAAGAGGCTCAGAGCACTTATTGTCCAAGGGAATGAATTCTTCGTGAAAATCAGGACCACCAACGCCATATTGCTTGAGAATAATGTGTATTTAAATCTCATGCAAATGTTTTATTGTCAAAGATAGTGTTTTAGTCAGCTTTACGTCACTTTTGAATAAAATATCTGAAAACAATTTAGAGGAGGAGAAGTTTATTTGGGGCTCACAGTTTCAGAAATCTCAGTCCATATACAGCCCTCTGCGTTGCTCTGGATTCCATGTCAAGCAGAACATCATGGTAGATGGTGTGGTGGAGGAGGACTGCTTTATTCAGGGCAGCCAAGAAGCAGAGAGAGAGGAAGGAAGGAGCCACAGGGAAGATGCATCCTTTCAGAGCACAGTTCCAGTGGCTCACCTCCTCCAGCCTCACCCCACCTGTCATTAATCACCACCCAGTCAGTCCATTCAAACCAGGTTGACTGATCAGGTTACATCTCTCATAATCTAATTGTTTGCCTCTGAATATTACTGCACTAATGCAGGAGCTTTGGGGGGACACCCCATATCCAAACTGTAATAGATGGTGGTGTTACAAGTGAAGATAGTTCACTTACTGTGCACCAACTAAAAGCTATCCAGAATTTTCAAAGTCGAATCCATCCCATTGTTTTAATGGAAAAGAGGTGTCTAAAAAATGAACACAGTATATACTATTATGTATTATAATCCTAAAAGACTTTGATTATTGGCCTTTGCACATTGATCCAAACATACCCCTGCCCCTGCCTTCCCCCACAAGCTTCCCTTCCAGACAAACTGTACATTTGCCTCCAAGTAAGTCTGGCCATTTGTAGAATAGTTGCCATTTTTAAAGTGATATCCTTTTTCCAAATAGGCTATCCAAGCCCAGGGAGCCATTAGAGCTCCTTTGGTTGAAATAACTGAGGAATCTCTGAAATAGTATTTGGGATAGGCTTACTGGAACGCAGTTATTCTGTAAGAAAGATAATGCTTTTAACTGCAAAGTCATTTGGAGATGTTGCAGATGAATAGGGAGGGTGGCCCAATTTGCTGATAGGCATTTTGCTCATTTTGACAAAAATTCAATGAGAAACTAAAAATCCTAATCTTTGACTCAGGAGATTTTGACCCTTTGGCTCTGAAGATTCCCAAGGAGACATCCAGTAAGAATACTGGGCTAACCACAGCCTCCCTCATTTGTATGCCTGTCTGCACTTCTATCTTAAATTAGCCTACTTTATAATCATATCCAAAATTTCTCCTGCTTTTTAATGTATTGATTCTCTGGAGTGTCCTTGGGACTACAGTCAGAGTATGTTCTATGTCACTTTCCAAAGTCCTCCAAAAGCTTACTCTTCTTATGAAAATGAGAGGGGGTGAGGGAGAGGTAGGGAGAGAAAGACAGAGCCAGAGAAGAGGTGAAGGAGACAGGATGGCTTGTTCTAGTTGCTTCAAGCTGCTGTTCCCGACAGCCAGCTCCTAGCTCAGAACCTGCAGTTACTTTTTCCCACGATCCCAGGAGCTCTCACCCCACCTACCCACCCCCACTCACAAAATGCTGATCTGGGTCTATTATCATAGAAATTATAAGGATTAATGGGACTGTCAGCTGAGTGCTTTTGAGAATGGGGGATGAAACTCCAGTGTTATGATCCGCCGCATTATTCCTTTATACACTGCAAACCCCCACATCGTTCCAAGTCTGCTGACTTAATGACAGGGTATCTCACTAAATGTCAGGAGTGACACTTCAGGAACAGCACATTTCAAGACAAGAGTTTCAGTTTGGCAATACTGAGTTTTGAGTAGAATTTTGAATGTTTCAGTGTATTAAAATCGATCATTTTTTTAGAGTGAGAAAAAAATTTTTTTAAAAAGCTTCTTCTGCATCATTCAGTATCCTTCCTTCCCTCCCTCCCTCCCTTCTCCTCCCTTTTTCCTTTCCTCTTCATTTTTCTCTTCCCCTTCCTCCTCTTCTTTTTTGTACTGGGATGGGACCTAGGGGCACTCTATCTTTGAGCTATATCCCCAGCTCTTTTACTTTGAGACAGGGTCTTGCTAAGCCACCCAGGCTGGCCTAGAACTTGTGATCCTCCTACTCAGCTTTCTAGGTAGCTGGGATCACCGGCTGCCCCACCAGGACCAGCATTCAGTATAATTTCCACAGTTTTCTTTGTATTTGGTACTAGAGTACTTGAACCAGTCCCTCTGTAATCCCCTCCACAGCCTAATACAAGCAGAGCTGGAATATAGGGCTGGAGAGAGAACCCCTGGGCATTCAGGTGTGGGGCTACCTCTGTGGGTGGCATGATGGTGGAAATCCATGACGCCTCTGTGTGGCGCCCAGTGCTCAGGAGGTGCTGTGTCTGCAGCTGTGGTTGGAGCCAGTGGTACCCTTCCCTGTTGCAGCACAGAGGGTCAGACACGGATATGTGGGAAGGATACAGAAACAAAGAGCCAGAGAGAAGAGAAGGGGTTGCCCTGGCCATGGAAGTGGAGCTGGGACCCAGGCATCTTCCCCTGAAGGGTGCTGTGCCCCATTTCACAACCCTCACTCTCCATCTTCCCAACATACCACACACACACACAGCTCTCACTGAAATGGATGCTGGTCTAGGTGACTGACTGCCTCTGTAGCTTACCACAGCTATGAGTGAACCTGGGCTTGCACTTGAGTCAGATCCTCCAACTGTCTCAGAGTGCCCATGCTCTGTTAAAATGAGATCCTACTATGCCCATGCTATGTGGGGTTCTGAGTCAGCTGAAACCACATTAGCTCAAAGCACAAAAGGACTTTTGAGATCCTTTCCTATTTAGAGATTTGAAAGTGCAACAGTCCAGGTAACTTGCCTTGAGAGAAGCAATAAATTCTCTTCCTGCCCTGAATGTGACTGCCTTGAGTTAGGAGCCCAGGACAGTGACATGGGCAGCCCAGGCTGGTCTTCTGCCTCTATTCTCTTTTTCTAGGGAATGGGCCAATAGCCTTCCCCTAACCATCTTTACGGAGAATATTCTAAAGGATCTGCTTGAGGTTCTCATCCTAAAACGTGGCAGCCTTCTTACCAGGCCAAGTACTTATTTCTTGGGGAGATTCTTTGATTGAACATAAATAATGCTTTCCACATTAGGGATAAGAACTGAAGCTGAAGGAAGACAAAATAACCTCTCTGTGGAA